ACACTTTTTCTCCATCTAGCATGTCATAGAGGACAAAGTAGCAATCTATTTAAATTATGACTCAATGTAGATTGAAATCACTACAGGATGATCCTAAGGATTCAAAACAACTAATTATCCTTGTCTCAAAAGGCTAGTGCAATATTCTAAATCTGAATACCAATCCATAATTTGGAATGATGCTAGACTGAAAGATTAAAGGGAACTGAAGAGTTGAGTCTAGTATTCCTAAGAGTTTAAGAATGATTAAGATTGTACTCCAACATGATAGCTTTGAAAATTTTCATATACTTATATTCCATGATATTGGAAGAGAAGGGAATAGTTGGTCATAAAACATTTTACAAAGTGCTAGTTGCCATTGAAGAAGCAATATTCCCTTATACTTGCTTTATAATTATTTGTCACAACAACATTATATGTAAAACTCCACCCTGCAGAATAGAAAGAAAGTTTTTGAAGGGAATGGATGCGTAGGAAATGGCACTTGTAATCTTTCTTATTTCCAAATGGGAGCTAGAACATAGATTTGGATGCCTTGAGAGGCGCACTCTGCTTGCGCCATGTCAAACTTCTCATCATCAAATTACTTAACTTGCATCCCTATATATCCCTATACTAATTCCTAAAGCTCTCCAAGGATTTGGTTCTTGACAGGTATGGCATTGACTTTGCGGAAGATTTGATTTCCTTGTAAAATCGCCTTGCATACATGCTTTGCAAAGAGCAATCCATTCAACATAGATTAAGCCCATCATAAAAGTGGGCCAATTGTCTTTAAATTTAATTCTCTGTATCAACATCCAATGGAGCCTTCGTAAATATCAAGAATGGGCTGAGGCCCAGCGGAGAGGATAACATATGGAACTCAGAGAGGAGAACATATGAAGCATGTCGGGAGGCAATGAGGGAGATAGGATACAAGGAAGGCAATGGGAACGAGGTATCAATGAGCCCATCTCCACCCGCGCCTCAAACGCAAGCTTTTCACACCACTACTTCCCACTTTCAACAGGAGCTCATGATAGACTCTCACCGGCATGGTCTTGAGAATCTGGATTGCCACGCCTAGCATGGCACTGATGTGGAGCAGGAGGAGCGCAGTGCTGCTGCTGAAATTCACAACAGCAGCATTGGATCTTGCGTTGCTGGCTATAGCAAACCCACTGCACTTAACACTCCAGATAGATTTCTGAAGACTCTCCTATGCCCAATCTCTGTGCGTCCCGCTCTCCATCCATGGGGGATGGGGCGGCTCACGGAATGGCTGGATATCAACGATCGATGTTTGGGTCAACACATCAAAACAGTGAAGAATCAAGTCTGAACTGCTCTGAAGATGTTCTCCAGCATCACATAAGGCAATGCATCACTCACAAGGCTGGACTGGCACGTAAATTCCGCAGCATGCATCCCTCAATTCATCTCCCCGTGGTTTTTGCACGCAGTAACAAACGTTGCCCATGCAACTCCATCTGCTGGCAAAGGCATATTCTCCAGGACATCCTCGGCCTCTTTCAATCGCCCTAGTCGTCCGAGAGCATCAACAATGCAGGTGTAGTGGTCTTGCGAAGGATCCAATCCATTGTCAAAGCTCATTGCCGTGAAGTAGCTTACTGCTTCCTTGACGAGCCCCAGATGGCTACACGCCGTCAAAACGATGGCAAACGCTGCCTTGTCGGGGTCAAAGCCGAAAAGTGCTGGAACGCAGAATACGCATGCCCGGTCTGGGCATATGCTGCAAGAATCGTGTTCCAGGAGACCAAGTTCCAAGTTCGCATCTCATCGAACGATTTCTTAGCATCACGAATATTTGCATCTAGAGCATATACCACTAGAATTGTGTTCCATGAATAGGAATCCCAGCAGCAAACCAAAGAAAACGCCCGGATCGCCTCTTTGAAACGACCTCTCTGGGCATAAACAGCGATTGTCGCGTTCCATGAAACAAGATCTCTGTGTGGCATTTCTTCAAACAATTGTTTTCCTTGATCAACATCACCTTTTTGGGCGTATGACTTGATCATAATCTCCACAAAAGTACGCTGTGCTGAGGCATCCTATCAAACAAACTCTTGGCTTGAATCAAATCCCCATTTTGGGCATAGCAGCAGTGCATCGCCCCCCAGAGGATCGCGTTTCGGTGGACAATCTCCTGGAAGACATCCTCCGCCTCCTCCACGAATCCATTCTCCGCAAACATGACGAGCATCACCGCGCGAGTGATCGGGCATGGAATCAAACGCGGCCTTCGCATCGCCCACTCGCCCGCGCTGCGCGAAACCCTGCACGAGGATCGTCCACGCTACCTTGTTTCTAGTTACCACCCTGTCTAGGCAAGATCTTCTGCAGTTGAGCTCTGAAGAGGAGGTGCCAACTCAGGTTTCGTGGATATAAACCTGACACAAGCACTTTGAAGAGAAGAGCTTTGGATTGAATTCCTGGGTGTGGCACATTCTAAATAACTGAATTCCACTCTACTTTTGCCCGGACTTTGCACCCGCTGGAGTTTCTAAAGTTTCTACATATGTCGTTGGTGATCAAGTGTTGGTGAGTTATCAGGTGTTGCGGATCCAAGGTTTTTGCTGCGTAGGTCCTTATCACATCGTCCAACAAGTTGGTCCACAAATCTATGTGGGGCACTCAATGCACAACGTCAAGAGAAGATCCATGTGAAGCAATTAGCTCGATATTGTGTGTGAACAGATTGATGTAAGGAACCTACCATATATTCTATGGTAGATATAGATAAACTCAACAAGATTAGAATACACTAACTTTTTAATATTAATAAATTAACAATTTTTAATGTGTATTTATGGAGCCCACAAGAGTAGGAGTGAGGTGTTATCATATTATGAATCCCAGAAGATCAAGAGTGAGAGGTGTTAATCACATTATTTATATGCTCCATATGATCCTGAGGTTTAGGGGGCCCAGGTAAGTAAGAGGAAGGAAAAAAAAGAATTAATTAGAGTGAAAATGCGAGTTATTGTGAAATTAGAGTATAAATGTGAGTTAAGAGTTAACACGAGCTAAGAGTAAAAACGTGATGTAGCAGCTTAAAAGAGGGAAGTAGGAATGCTCGGATGGAGTTCCACCAGGTAGAAAAGACAAGTCATACCTCAAGCCTCGGATTGCTCCCAACCCCCTGCCTCCACCGGTTGCCTACTTTAACCAAGCCCCGAACCACCCAGCAGTTCTGGCGCACAGGGATGACATCAGCCCCAACCTCTTGCTCCACTGCTCCTACTTCTAAGCTGCTAGCAGCTTCTCCCCCCCTTAAGAAAAAAGGTCTGTTGTTCTCTTGGAGTTCAAGAGGCATCCTCTTCACCGTCTCCTCTGTTTTTGCTAGCTAGTTAGCTCTTACAAGGAGGAGCACAAGCCAAGTTCAGCTCCATGCTCAGCTCTATCATCTCCTCTTTAAGACACCTCACCTCTTTGAAGCCATTCAGGAGAGCTAGCACGCTTCACGTCTAGACGTCCCCCCCCTTTTTTTTTTTGCGATTGTCTCTTCAAACTCACAAACCTTACCAAGCCGAGTGAAGGTTTTGAAACCCCATGAGCCTTTTTCCATCTTCCAGTTGAGCTCTCCAACAATCTTGACGTGCAGATGCGTGCAAACTGCTCCTTGAGTCAGGACCATTTCTCCAGGAGATAACTTATGCTACAACACTCTCCGTTCGACGATCTCAATGTGGAAAGATCCACAAAGCTGTCCCACTCATCATAGTTGTAGAAGAAATCATCCTCATACTGCATCTGCAACCTTGCTCGAGCCCAAGCCTCCGCCATCGCAAGCTTCTCCCTCATCTTGATCACCTGAGGCGGCAAAACAAGTAAAGTCCAGGTCCTGACGAACAACAATGGAATACACCTTTCCTGGGTACCTGTCTCGAAACCTGTGACAAGTACAGTGGACGATGTGGTGTTTCAGATCGCACGGAATGATAACTTGATGAAAGCAACAAAACCATCGAGCTCGCTCTTTGGGGATCAATTATCATCTCCTCCTTTGAAGCAATGAGCAGCAGGCCTTGATCGCATCCAGAAGTGCTAGAGATAGTCCGCAAAAGCAAGTTTGACACCAGTTATTTTGGCAACACAGAAGAAAAAGAAGAAAAATAAACTCAAGTTTCAAAATTTATAGAGATCCATACAATCCAAATCAAGATCAATCCTCCACGAACTTAATGCCGCTTTCAGCACCTCCAATCTCTGCCGAAAAACGTAGCCACGGTATGCCACAATCGTTCGCTTGAAAATCTGAAGATGTCAATCGAAGCATGCAAGCAAAAACATGAAGTAAAGAAGCGCAGGTGGACAACAAAGGAGATGAACCGAGTGAGGCCAAGAACACATATAAGGACTGAATGTAAGCACGTGAGGCCTCGCGCGGTTTTATCCTCCGTGCGTGGCTTCATGTGCGAAGAGTTTGGTGTGGTAAGGTATGTTGCGGAGCAGCCAGAAGCCCAGGGTGAATATAAGTACATGAGGCCTTGTGAGGTTTTACCACCGCCCAAGGACTCCTGTGCATGGGCCCGGGCAAGAGTCATTTGTGAAAGTGTTCTGCATGAAACTGGTGCCCTGAGGCTTCTGGCCCCATGAAGAGCATTTTTTATTTAATTTGTGTAGAGTGTGGTTTATTTTTGCATATTGAGTGTATCGATATCTTTTAGTTAGCAGATTCTTTCCACTGCGGATGAAAAGCGTGATCATCACATTCCAAGAGATCTCGTTCTTCTCTGGATCCAATTTGAAAATCTCTCGCGCTTTATCAAGATGCCCGTTGTCGGCATATGCCGTTCCACGATCGAATTCCACGTCGAGGCATCTCGCCGGAGCATCCCATCGAACGTTCTGCGCGCTCGATTTAGATCTTTCACCTGTGCGTAGGCCTGGATCATGATGCTGGAGGAGAAGAGCTTAGGATTCTCTATGGATTCGAAGATTGCACGGGTGTCATCGACACTGCCGCGTTTGCCATACATCTCGACGAGCAGATTCGCGAGGTATTTGTTGCGGCGGTGCTCGCTCTGCGCAATGCGGGCGTGGATTTGCCTCCCCTGTGACAGATCCCGGCAGTTCTTGAGCAGTGCTCCGCAGGAGAGCAAGCAATCCTCTGAGGTGACTGTGGAAATCACGAAATTGGGGAAGAGCAATGCCATAAACTTTGCTGGATCTCACACGCATTCGCGATTCGCGAGGTATTCCTTGCGAGAATCCGGGCGCGACCTCCACAGCTCTTGAGAATCCTGGACGGAGAAAGAACATTCCAATCTAGCTTGGAGATCACGGCTAAGAAGAAGAAGATAATCCATCTTGCCTTGCAAGAACAAGGACACCCTGGAAGAAGCAAAGATTTTACTCTCTGGTGACAATTCCTCTACTCCACTGGGCTTATAAGATTGGCTCTCTCCTCCATTCTCTATAGCTATGAATTTCCATCTCTCTTTCTTGCTCCTCGAGATACTAGTGTTCTAGGGAGCTGTCGCTCTAAATTCGCCCCCATCGCTCCCTCTCCGCCCAATTCCCTCATGGCGCCAGCTCCAGTTCCACTCGCGCCGCCTCTCGATGTTCTTCCACTTCGGCGTCAACACACTCACGGACTCGGAGCGTGGATCCGGCCACGAATCGCCCTCCATCTTCAACCCGGAGCGATTGAATGCGTCGCAGTGGATGGACGCGGCCCAATCCACGGGCGCGCAGCTCATGATCCTCACGGTCAAGCACCACGACGGGTTCTGCCTGTGGCCCTCGGCCTACACCAATTTCTCCGTGGCTAGCAGCTCTTGGCGAGGAGGGAAGGGGGATGTGGTGGCCGAGTTCGTGGCCACCGCCAGGGAGCATGGATTGGACGTGAGCTTTTACCTCTCGCCATGGGATTTGCACGAGAGCTGCTATGGCGACACTCTTCTCTACAACGAGTTCTACTTGGCTCAGCTCCGAGAGCTTCTTACTGGGTGAGTGAGACATTCTTTGCTTCTTCTCCACGCATTTTTCTTGGTGGCATGATCACTGTGTGATATGTTTGCATTTCCTCCAGCCCATCAAACGGTTTTAGCATTAGGAGCTCGCGAGCTTGTGGGCTTTTGTAGTTTTCATCTCTAGCAGCAGATGCCTTGACGCGGCATTTTGTTTTGGCGTGCAGATATGGGCCAATCTCCAAGGTGTGGCTGGATGGTGTGAAATCATCCACTGCAGTGAACATGAGCTACGATTTTGAGCTCTGGTTTGACACGATTCATCAGCTGCAACCCGGTGCCAACATCTTTTCTGATGTTGGCCCCGACATCCAATGGGTTGGGAACGTGTTGGGGGAAGGAGGGGCACCTCCCCCAACGTTTGTTCAAACATGAGAAATGCTTTAATGCTCTCTGCAAATGCCTTGCAAGGGTTTTATACAAAGAAAATGGGGAATATTCTAAGGACTAAAATATTTTTTCTCTCTCTCACTCTCTCAATGGCCACGCTTTAACATGCAACCACTGTGGATTGTGTTGGCTCCAGACATGTGAGAACCCTCCAAAAAGTGTAGAATGTACCTTTGCTACTAATGCTAAAAAGTGTAGAATGTACCTTTGCTACTAATGCTAAGTGTTGGTAACTGCGTGAAATAATAAAAACTTTAGAAAACAAAGTGGAAAAAGAAAGAAAAGAGGTAGATGTAAAGTTTGGAGACAGGGAAGAAAACCTAGTGGGAAACCTTGTAGTCAAACTAGACTTTGAAGTTAAAGAAAAAGTGTAGAAAAAATGTGAAAAGAAGAGAAAAATAGAGGAAAAAAAGTGAGTACTTAAAGAAGTTAACCTATACCTGGATTTTGGCTCAGGAAAGTGTAATATGCAAATGCAACCTTTTGATGACTTCCAATATGCTCCAAGGATTGGCCGAAATTGAGAAAGAAAGAGAGGTAGAAGAGGGGATGCATTGCCCAAGAGTGGTAATTGTAGAAATGATAAAAGATATAGTGGAGTGATATGGTGGAGTGTTGAGATGGTGTTGGCACTCTGAGAAGGTGGCCATCTCTGAAAGTGTCAGGCCTATGGTTTAATGTGTCGGATTGAAGAAGACAGCAGCTGAAAAAGACAACGTAGTCGCTAGGTTGTTGGTAAAGAGAGGTGGCATGTGTCCACTGAGTGTTGGAGCAAAAGAAAGTGGCTTCAGCTTCTGTAACCTCGCCTAAAGATCCACCTAGGTGCCTTGAGTGAACAGGTTCACCCAGTTGGAAGAAAGTTGCTCCAAAAAAGCTAGTGCATTGTCGGTAAATGGTCGTAAGGATATCTTGGAAATTGCACGTCCAAATGAGGTGGTGTCTTCTATTGCTATTACATGTATGTATATCCATGGTATGGTGTAAATGTGACCTCAAACGGAGAAGTGCACGATGGTGAAAGAATGAAAGATGCAAAACGGGCATTTAGAGGTAAGTGCGGGCAATGCTGCTGGAAGTTATTGGTGATGGAACTGTGAGTGTAGATGATATGGAATGGGTGTGGGAAATGTGTGGGTATAGTAATGGTAAAGGAAGGGCCAAAGAACCTAAAACATAGACCAAGCTAAGCAAGGAACCTCCATACAAATAGCAATGCAGCCTGAGCACGAAATCCAAGGCATGGGCCATGGTCCAATGGAGAAACACCCCCTGAAAGTAAGAAAAAGGAGCCATGAAAGTAAAGTGAAAGAAAGGAAGAAAAAGAAAAAGAAGAGAAGAAGAATGCCTCACCGGATGAAGCGTTTAAGGTGAGAGTGGTTGTGAGCGTGTGAGAGCACACATCCCTCAGCATCAATTAACACATATGCTCTGCCTCTAATGTGTCACTGGACAAAGTAGGGGCCAGTCCAGCGAGGGGAGAACTTCAAAGGTGGTGTGAACTGCTTGAGTAGAACAAGATTGCCATTCCCGAATGGTTCAATAGACTGTTGGTGATCAATGACAGACTTGATCTTCTGCTTGCCTCGAAGGAGATGTTCAGTTGTGGATCGTCATTGTTCTTCCAAGGCAAGAACATCCAAGTCACATGCATGAAGCTTGTCCTCATCGCTAAGTTGCATTGCTGCTATGTATCGAAGTGAAAGTGAGAGTGATGGCACTTGGATCTCCACTGGAAGCACAGCCTCTGTCCCATAGATAAGGGAGAATGGGGTTGTGGAGATGGATGTCTTGAAGGATGTCCAAAAGGCCCACAACGCCATAACCAAGTGCTCGTGCCAATGCCTTGGGTGATCCTCCACAAGCTTTGAGATGACTGTCTTCAATATCTTGTTGCTGGACTCCACCTGGCCATTGCACTCAGGATAATAGCTGCTGCTCTCACATGCTTGACCTGCAGCCATTGGAAAAGATGCTGCATCACCTGTCCAGGGAAGCTGTTGCCACGATTGGAAATCAAAATGGCAGGAACTCCGAATTGACAAATAATGTACTCGTAGACAAACTTTGCTATAGACTGTTGATCTGCCTATCACAGAGGGGTGGCCTCAACCCATTTTGTGAAATAGTCCATCGCCACGATGATGTATCACTGTTCTTTTGAGCTTAGTGGGTTGATCGGGCTGACGAAGTCAAGTCCCCACTAGAAAAAGGGACCCAGAGAAGTGATGAGCTGGAAAGGGAGACATGGAAAATGGCTCCAGGGGTTGAAACGTTGGCACTACTCACATGTCTTTGCATAGGCCAAGCTATCCTAGTGAATCCGAGGCCAAAAGTAGCCATGGCACAAGAGGAGTGTTGCTGTGACCCATCCTGAGAAATGCCCCGCACAAGAGTGGAAAGCACGAAGGATCTCAAGGACCTCATATTCACCCACACACCACAACAAAACTGCCTAAGAAGTTCTCCTGTAAAGGTGTCTGTCGAGAAGGCAAAACACCTGTGCTCAGATCTCCAATGCCTTTTGTTGCACTGATGAGGAATCTGCTGGGAATCTGCTGGGAACTGACCTGAATCTAGGTACACTACAATGTTCTGTAATGCTGCTGGGACCACAAAGGAAGTAGCTTTAGCAACCAGGAACTCGCTCAAATCCATCACACGCTTCCACTGCATGTGAAAAGTTGGCTGGAACTCTTGGATGGTCACAATCCAAGATAAAGTACTTGGACTGTGAACTGGTCACTATAAAAGAAAGGTCAGTGCATTAAAACAGACATGGAAATGAATACAAGCTCCAGCAAGAAAGTGATGAAATCACTCCAAGGTGTAAACAACAGTCATTGCTTCTTTTTCCACATCCACGTACTTCTTCTTAGTCTCCTTAAATGAATGTGAGGCATAGTATGTTGCATGTGGTGGCTTTCCAGGTTGTAAACATTGGCAAAGGCATACTCCAAAAGCCTTTGTACCTGTCATGATGTAAATGTCAAAAGGAAGTTATTGTTCTGGTGGTTGGAGTACCAGGGCCATGTAGAGTGACTGCTTTAGTGATTCAAAGGCTTGTTGCTGGGACTCACCCCAGACAAATGGAACATTGTGTTGTAGTAGAGCTACCAGAGGCCGTGAACATGCAGCATAGTTGTGGAGGAAACAGCAAAAGAAACTCATTTGCCCGAGGAAGTTGCGAAGCTGCTTCATATTGGTTGGTGGGTTCTGATTCAAAATCTCCTAAGCCTTGGCTACCTGGGGCTTGATCCCCTCCTGTGAGACATCAAAGCCTAGCAACTGGCCTTCAGGCACCCCAAATTTACACTTTGTTGGGTTCAATGAAAACTTGTGTTGTCGGCAGTGAGTGAAGATCTGCTCCAAGTGCACAAGGTGGTCCTTGAAGGAGTCAGAGGTCATGCATAGATCATCCATATACACCCTCAAGGTGCCTCCAATCAAGTCGTGAAAGGTGTGGGTCATAAAGCACTGAAAAGTAGCTCTAGCGTTACACAAGCCAAACGGGAGGACGTTGAAAGCGAAGATGCCCCAAGGTGTCTAGAAGGTCATAAGATCTCGATGATCGGGATGAATGAAGATCTGGTTTTACCCTGAAAAACCATCTATGAAAGAGTAGTAACAGTGTCCAGCCATCTCATCCACAATCGCATCAATAAATTGAGTTGGAAAGTGATCTTTCACAGTTGCCTTGTTCAAGTCTCAAAAGTCAATGCAGAGGCAGATTTTTCCATTTGCCTTGCGTGCAGGGACAAGATTGGTCACCCACTCTAAGCTCTCCAAAGGGTAAATAAAGCCGGCTGCCAGAAGTCGCTCGATCTCCAACTTCATCTCTAAGTGAGCTACCGGGCTGAAACGCCACATCTTTTGACGGACTGGTTTGGTTGACTCTGAAAGCACAATACTTGGAGTCTTTGTCTGTTGTTCTCTTTGCTTCTGATGCTTTGAGCACTCAATGTCCAATGCAAGAACTGTAGCCAAGTACTCTGCAAGTGAAGGAAGATCCTTCACCGAAGTCAAGTCCAACTCTGGTGCTAAAGTTTTAGTGTAATACACTTGGATCTGTACCGAGAGCTCCACAGTAGGAAATTCTGAACTCAAAGAGTCATAACTCACATGCAGCACATCCAATTGGCTTGATTCTTTTTGAAAGTTGTGTCTCTTGATGTCATCCTTTGTCTCCAAAAAACGGCATAACAAAATACACTTAGAGTTGTCTGCTACCATGATTTTAATAGGAAGATGCTGGCTGTGTGACACCTCAAATAGTTGCTAAGGAGGATTGAGTTTGGCTATGTCCTGTGAGAGATGGACCTGGTCTAGAGTGACTGTGTCATCAAGCTCCATAAGAGAGAGTTGGACCCATGCAAGGAACAAATTGAAAAGCTTTTCCTCTATCAAGAAACACTCCGAAAAGCTGGATATGGGAGCCTGTACCCTATGAACCCTGCCATCAAATAAAGAGGGCGTGGCTAGAGGCTTGGCCTTACTCTCAAATAAAGAGAGTGAAGCTGAGAGATGTCTCGAGCTATCTGACTCACCTCCAACAATGTCGATCACATTGCATGAGAAAGCATCCGTCATATAGATGGTTGACTCCACCTCCAACTCAGGAAAAACCTTTATGAGCTTAACAGGAAAGTGTGGTGTGGAGGCCATCTTAGTCTGAGCCTGTTGGGCTTGCTGAGAAAAAGCTCTACTATGGTTGTTGAGAAAGGTGGCGTTATGGGTTCCATCACTAATTTCCATCTTGCCTTGTGTGCTGTCAATGGTGCAATAGACTATGACTTGCCGTGAGTGGCCAAGGATGATAGAGTCCTTCAATGAGGATTTTCCAAGATGTTGGTAGTCAACCATGAGGAAATCTACCTTAGAAATAAAACCCTGCACTGAGACCTTGACACCACAGTAAATGCCCGCTGGAGGAATGGTGTGGTTGGCGAAGGTCTTGAGCACGATGGAAGAGCTCTTAGTGATCTATAGCTGTGCCGAAAGGGCAGTTTCGAGAAAGATAATGTTGCTTCCAGAACCAAAGTCAACCAAAGCATCCACTCTACAATAG